TTCTTTCTCTAGGCCTCAGTTTCCTCATCTGTAAATTGAGGGAATTGGACTAGATTATCTGATATAGTGGAAAGAATACTAGATTTATAGTCAGAGCACCTGTATTCAAACCTGGCTTCAAAACTCATTCTCTTTGTGACTTTAGGCAAGTCACTTACTTCACCTTGGGCCTCAATTTCCTCATCTGTAACATGAGAAGGGTGGACTAGAGGTCTCTGTAGTCCCTTCCTCATCTAAATCTATCATCCTTGTCATCTCATCATCCCAAGGGTTTTTTGAAAATGTGGGAAGAACACTTCTTTTGTTCTGTTTTCTCAACTGTAAAATGCAGAGATTGTGTTGGATTGCCTCCAAAGTCCCTTTCAGCTCTGTCTAGGATTCCCGTCATCCCATGATCCCAAGACTTCCTTTTTTTTTTTATTTTTTTTTATTTTTTACTTTTAGGCAATTGGGGTTAAATGACTTGCCCAGAGTCACACAGCTAGTAAGTGTCAAGTGTTTGGTCTGAGGCCGGATTTGAACTCAGGTCCTCCTGACTTCAGGGCCGGTGCCAAGACTTCCTTGACAACATAGAAGGAGCACCTGTTGGAAACTCAGCTTCTTCATCTAGAAGATGAACAATGAGGATGACCTCTAAGGTCACTTTCTATCACAACCATTCTATGATCTTAACACTCTTTGAATCACAAGGTGAAGTCTTCTTGTGCCCCATGACACTGTGTTCTCCATTTCCCTTCACCCTCTGCTAAAACCTCTCAAGAGAGGACCGTTCTCCATCATTTACATAGAGTGAATGGAAGTCCCTATGTTTTCTTTCATTGTGGACCAGAAGACTTGGTTGCTTGTTTAATTTTTGGATAACTGTGAGTAGAGCCTTACCTGAGAATTCTGCCACCCAGGGCAGATTTAATTAAGCTGAATGTGTTTAAGGTATAGCCATTCCTATCCTTGATTGAGGCAGGCTTGAGGCAGAGGTGATGGGTATTGAGAAACTGGGAAGCCAGGGAGAGGGTAGGATTCAGGGTGAAGATGACTGTGAACCAGGTCTCTGGAGAAGGGAGTCCCTAGAGGAAAGAAACAAGTATCCAAATAGGATGGTGTAAACATTGAGGGAGGAAGGGTGACTGCTGAGTCATAGCTTCAGAGGGTGGAGAGAGGAGCATATCATTTTCTCCTCCTGGTCCTGTAATATTAGACAGCTGTGAGCCAGAGAAGGAGCAACCTGCCTTTGAGAAGGTACCAAGAGATGGGATGTCTTCAGGGAGAAGCCCTGGAAGATGGAGGGACAACTTTACAATCATAGAGATGGAAGGGTCCTTAGAAGCCATCCTGTCTGATACCCTCATTTTGCAGATAGAAAACTGAGGCCTAGAGAAATTAAGTAGCTTTTTGGGGGGGAGTGGGAAGTACAGTTGATATACTTTTGCACTTAAGCTGCATTAGCAACATTTTCTCCATCACTTTCTTAGGTCTAGATGATCACCAAAATAACCAGTAAAGCCCCGATTTGAAGCGTTTAAATGCTCACTCTGAAAATTTAACAATCGGTTTCTCTCAAGCCATTCTGAGCTGAGCACACTCCTGCTTTCACCTCTAATTGCTCTTGTTGGTGTTGTTCAGTTGTGTCCCACTCTTTGTGACCCCATCTGAGGTTTTCTTGGCAAAAATGCTGGAGTGGTTTGCCCTTTCCTTCTCCAGCTCATTTTACAGATTGAGGAAACTGAGGCAAACAGGGTTAAGTGACTTGCCCAGGGTCACACAGCCAGCAAGTATCTGAGGCCAGATTTGAACTCAGGAAGATGAGTGAGTCTTCCTGACTCCAGGCCCAGTGCTCTATCCACTGCCCCACCTAGCTACCCTTAAGTCCTATGATCCAATGTAAGTTCCTTGAATTTGTATTGCATTTGACCATTAACAGAATTACAGAATTTCAGAGTTTGAGGGACCCTAGTTCTACCCATGCCTTCTTCTCAATCCACGGAAGTCATTTTCAAATCAGCAGAAGCCATCCAGTGTAATCCCTTCATTTTGTAGATGAGAAAACTGAGGCCTAGAGACATTAAGTACTTTGCCCAAGGTCATCTGAGTACTAAGAGGCAGATGAAGGATTTGAATTCTACTTGTCCAATTCTAAATCTAGCAGTCTGTTCCAGAGAGCAGAGTGGAAATGGAGAGCAGGCAGAGATTGTGACTGGGGCAGGCTTAGGACTGGATTTACTGTGAATGTGTGGAGTGGCAGGTGGCAGCTGATTCCATGACTGTGAGGAGTCTTTGCCACTGATCTTTAGCTGATACTGCACCGATCCAATCCCAGACATCCCTTGTCAGGGCTATCCCCAGACTAGGTAGTTCATGAGAGTGGAGTGTGGAGTGGTGTTAGAGAGAGCAGTTTGGTAGGACAGAACTCTGTGAGAAAGGCATGGTGGGGCAGGGGTCCTGAAGCAGGTAATGGAAGAGGAAGATGGAGTGCCAGACTTGGAATCAGGAAAACCTAATTTCAAATCCTGCCTCAGGTACTTACCAGTTGGGTGACCCTGGGCAAATCACTTAAATTTTTGGTATCTCAGTTTCTTCATCTGTAAAATGGAGATACTGGCACCTAACTCCTAGCATTGCTGTGATAATCAAATAATATAAGCAAAGTGTTTTGAAGCCCTTAAAGTGCTACATGAATGCTAGCTACAGTTGTAGTTAGTAAGGATAATAATTATTGATGGTGATGATGATTAATGTTAATAGCTGGGGGACAGATTGGTATCCTTGACTGATATTGAGGTTTGGGGTTAGGTAGGAAACACATTCTTGATAGGAGGAGGAATTCCACTTACAATGAGGGTCAGAGAGTGTGCTACCTAGGGGGAAGGAATCATGACCTTGGGATGTTGGTACCTAAGCACAGTTCTGATTAACCCATGTTAGTTCTAGCTCTGTCCATCAGTCTGGGGAAGAGATGTTTCAGAGCCAGAGGCCTTCCTGAAAACACAGCACAAAGACAAGTTACCTCCTTTGCTTACTAGTGAGGGGAGCCTTACTGGTTTCTAGATCTTATGCCATCTCAGAAGTAGGAAGGATGGATCCTGACTCCGAAGTCCAAAGAAGACCCTAGCGTCCCGTCCTATCTCAGGTCCTCAGTTGGGTTAGTTTGCGTCTCTACCTGCCCTGGTACTGAGTCCCTCATATAATTCTTCTGAAGATAGCATCCCAGCAACCCTTCAGAGACTTGGAGAACTAAAAGACCAAGATAAAAAAAAATTGGCAATTCTCTAAATTTCAAGGAGTGGGAAGGAGGAGGGTAATTTGGAAAGAACGATAGATCTAGAATCTGAAGACCTGGGTTTAAACCCCAGCTTTGCCAATCGTGTGACCTTGGGCAAGTCGTATCACATCTCTTGGCTTCAGTTTCCTCTCAAACAATATGTGCGTATATAAGGGGGAAGGGAAGGGAACAGGCACTTATTAAGCACCTACTAAGGTACGAGGTACCTTACAGTAAGTACTTTACAACTATTTCATATAATCCTCACAATTATTTGTTTTGATTTATTTGATCTGAAATTTATGAGATTTAAGTAGTCATAATAATAGCTAACACAATAAAGCAGTTTTTGAGTTTGCACAGCCCTTCACACACATTTTCTCATCTGGCCCTCACAAAAGCCCTGTGAGGGAATTATTGTTCCCATTTTACAGACAAGGAAACTGAAGCTTAGAAAGATGATTTGCCCAAAACCAACTAAGCTTGTAAATGTCAGAGATGAGATTCAAAACTATTGTAGAATATTAGAGCCAGAAGAGGTCTTACATGAAATTTAATAGAGATAAGTGTTTAAAATTTTACACTTCGGGTAAATAAAACAACCTTACAAATACAATATGAGGGAGGTGGGACTGAAGAGAAGGGAAAGATGGGAAGGGAATAAATATTTATATAGCACCTATTGTGTACCAAGCACTTTATAGATATTATCTCATTTGATCCTCACAACATCAACAAGGAAGGTACTATTAATATCCCCATTTTACAGTTAAGGAAACTGAGGCAGACCAGTTAAATGCTTTGCCCAGAGTCACACAGCTAGTAAGTATCTGAGGTCAGAGTTAAACTCAGGTCCATCTCTCTATCTATTGTGCTACCTAACAGCCTCATAACTGGCTAAACAGTTCCTATGAAAAAGATCTGGGGGTTTTGATGGACTTCAGACTTCTTGAGGTTAAAGATTTTCATGTTTGTCTTTGTATACACAAGTGCCTTGTAGAGTATCTGGCAACTAGTAGGTGTTTAATTAAAATAAAAAAGCCTGTTGAGCTAAACTGAACATTAATCAGCAAAGCTGGGCAGCACTAAGAGGGATAATGCCTGGAATGAGGGAGCTGGGAGTTCTCTGTGCTCTGGTGTAGATCTTTAAATTAGTTTCTATGATTCTCAAAGTCCTTGGAGTCTAACATCTTCATTTTATAGACAAGGAAACAGACCTAAAGAGAGAGATAATAAGAATTTGAGGTGGAAAGGAGCTTAGAGACCATTTAGTCCAATCTCTTCATTTTACAAATGAAGAAACTGAGGCCCAGAGGGAGGTGATTTACCTAAGGTCACACACTGTTCAATGGCAGAAAAAACTCAAAAACTGGACTTCTGACACCTTGGACAGGGCACTTTGTACAATTGCTTCCCCCTTATAGAAGGTTACAATCTAAGGCATATAACCAGCGCAGATGTGGAGAAAAGCAACATTAAACCAATCTATGAATCAACTAATCACTAGATATTTGCTGAAGACCTACTATGTGTGGTACAATAGTAAGAGAGCTCAACTTAGAGTCACCGGGCTCTCTGCCATTTACGATCAGGGTGACTATGGCAAATCTCTTAACCTTTCTGGATCTCAGTTTCCTCCTCTGTCAAATAAAGGTGTTAGGCTAGATGGGTTCTAAGCTCTTCTATGATCTTATGTATCAGGGATGGGATAACAAAGAAAAATCAGATCTGTTTGGTCTTCCAGAAGCTTACAGTCTGTCTGGGGAAGAAAGACATACAAGGATTTCAGCAGAAACTCTTGCTATTAAGCTGTGGACTTACCCCAGTGACTCTGAAGGTATCCAGAGCCCAGGGGGAAGAACAGGGTGGTGGATGATGCTGGTAGCCAGGAGATGGGCTGAGGTAAGATGGTGTGTCTGGGGCTGGGGTAGGGGGGTTGCAGTGTGAATGGAGGGGGAGTTAGGCTGCAAAACGAGAAGACATTAGACTGCAATTCAAAAAGAGGAAATTACAGACCTTAAACACTTCTAGAAACAAATTTATGATGTAAATCTTTCTTTTGAAATAAAAAAAGATGAGAAAGAGAGAGAGAGAGAGAGAGAGAGAGAGAAGCCTTGTCCAGGCCCCTCCTTCCCTCAGATGGCCAAGGGGGGAAAAACACATGGAAAAATTGGAATTAGTTGTGACAGCTGAAATTCTCTGCTCTGCAGATGACATTTGACAGGGTACTTAAAAAAATAATAAGAAAAGGGAAAGTGGTTTGGGCAGCCTGGGGAAGGGGGAGAATGGGGGATTTAAAGTGACACAAGACGCATAATTCAAGCTTCTTAGATTGCAAAAGCTCCCCTTACCTAAGAGGCCCGCTGCCTTTATTTTTATCCAAATGGCTCAATTACTGCAAAGCCCCACAGAGAAAATTACAGATGTTTGCCTCTATTTTTCTCCCCTTGTCTCGACAACTGTAGATATTTTGTTTTCCTTCTTTCTCTTTTTGGGAAGGAGGGTGGTGAAGATGGAAAGGGGGGCTTGGACAGGCAGGAGGGGGACACAGGCTTTTGAATTGCGAGCCCAGATCTCTGGAGCTCTCCTCACATACACAAAATTGGCCTGTTTTTGTGTGTCAGTTTTGACACTATGATTCGTCCTCTATCTTCCCATCTCTTTCCAACCCCAGCTTTTCTGTGACCTTCGCTTCACTCTTTCCTCTCTTTCCTGCCTCTCCCCTAATCTCTTCTCCCATTCCTTCTTCCTGAGGCCTTCTTTCCCCCCTGCCTTTCTCTCTCCATTCTTCCTTCCACTGATTCTTTCCACCAAATTTTCTTCCTTTCTTCATCTTCCCCTGTTTTCTATAGAAGAAAAATTTCTGGTCATCCCTCCTCTTCCCAGCAAAAACCACGTCTTCTCCACTTTTCCCTTACCCAGTTTATTTCTAAATTCTGCAATAGATACGCCACACTGGGTGGCTTATAATACCTATTTCCCAACATTGGGAGGGAAGGGTGTATCTCTGCTTGTCACCTTCAAAATGAGTGCTCAGTAAACCTGATTACTACTTTTATCATCCTTTTGCCTGAAGGAGGAGCAGTGGAAGGGAGTGAGATATCCATTGTTCTAGGAGATGACCAGTTGCAAGAGAGTTCTGTTTCTTCAGGGTCTTTCTAATTCCCCTGCCTACAATCCCCTGTTAGGAGTGGGGTACAAGTGCTGGGTTGGGGGTAGGGTGACTCTGAGCTCGATTCAAACAAATGAGCAAAGAGCGATGGATGGTGAATGCTTTGGACTCAGGACCCTTCTGGGTCAGATACATTCTTAGTCTTTGACCAACTACCGTTACTTCTACCTAGCTAATGTGTGTTCAGGAAGTTCACATTTTGTGAACCAGCCAAATAGAATTAGAAGAGTCAGTCAGGAAAAAAAGTCAGTTTGAACATTGCAAAACCAACTAGAAATAACTCTGGGATCATGTGTTATTTTAGAGTCTTTGTACTATTATGCCTGCTGCACTGATGCAAAGAATGCATCTTAATTCCCCACATCTTTGTAGATAGAATCACAGACATTTAGAACAGAAAGAGATCTTAGAGATCATTTTAGTCTAAGCTGTTCATTTAATAGAAGGAAACTGAGGCCCTCAAGTTGACTTACCTAAGGTCAATTAATAAATTAAGAGCTGGGCCTAGGACCTTTGTCCCCTATTCTCGGTTCAATGATCTTTCCATTACATCACTTGGCCTCCCCCAACTAACACTTTCCCTCTCCAGTCCTCTCTTTTCTCTTTCTCTCTAAGTCAACAAGTATTTATTAAGCCCATATTTTGTGTCAGGTGCCATGTGTATGTCTGTGTGTGCGTGTGTGTGTGTGTGTGTGTGTGTCCCTTCATCTCTTTTTCTTTCTCTTCCTCCCTTCATCTTTCTCCTCCTTTTGCTCTTCATTCCTCCCTCCTCTCTTTCCCTTTTCTTCATCCTCTCTTCTCTTTTTCTTTTCTTCCTTTCCCTACATTCTCAAGGTTGGAACCTTTTCCTATCCTTTGAAGCTTGATTTTCCTCTTAGGACATCACATTTCTTTCCACAGATATGAATCTCTCTCCAAGGCAAGCATCAGAACCTCCCACTCTCTCTACGACTCACAGGGCCAGGATGAGCAATCGGCACTCTCTAGATGCTCCACTGTCACTTCCAGACCAACGCTCTGCTGCCACTACTCAACCTCTCCTTTGAAGTTCACATCTTCTGATTCTATAACTTTCTCTGACCTTTCAGAGTCATCTGCCAACTTCAGAGACACACTTCCACGTTCCTCAAGGAGTCTAGTAACCTGGTTCATGATCATTTCTTTTGTGATGGTAACAACCATGAATATAACAAGAACCTGGGCTCTATTATTTTTCTGAGTTTCTCAATTCCAATAGCCTCTACCTCCATTCAACTTTGGCAGCTGATCTGCGTGACTGGATACTTTGCTATCCCCAGGACTCAAACCATCTCCAAAATGTTGAATTTTCAGAACTGCCTCTCCAACCACAATCTCCTCTTCTCCTACCCTCCCACTCCCCTAATCCCAATGGACCTGTTTCTCATCATCTACATTTACTGAACACCTAGCATGTGCAAGGACCCTATGATAAGCACTGGGGATAAAGAGATATATAACATAGTTAATTCCCCCCCCCCAATATTAGTCATGTTGTAAAAGAAAATACAGACCAAAAAAAAAAACCATGAAAAAAATAAAGAATGTGAAAAATAATACACTTCGATCTCTGTTCAGATTCCATCAGTTCTTTCTCTGGCAGTGGATAGCATTTTTCATCATAAGTCCTTTGGAATTGTCTTGGATAATTGTGTTGCTGAGAATAGCTAATTCACTAACAGTTGATCATCATGTAATATTGCTGTTACTGTATACAATGTTCTCCTGGTTCTGCTTATTTCACTTTGCATCAGTTTATGTAAGTCTTTCCAAGTTTTTCTGAAGTCATCCTGTTCATCATTTCTTTTTCCCCCTTAATATATGTATTTGATTTTTTCCAATTACATGTGAAGATTGTTTTCAACATTCATTTTTGTAAAATTTTGAGCTCCAAATTTTTTTCCCTCTCTCTCTCTCCTCCCCCCTCCCCAAGACAGCAAGCAATCTGATATAGGTTATAATGTACAATTATGTTAAACATATTTCCACATTAGTCATGTTGTGAAAGAAGCATCAGAACAAAAAGGAAAAATCATGAGAAAGAAAAAACAAAAAACAAAGTGAAAATAGTATGCTTTGATCTGCATTCGGACTCCATAGTTTTTCCTCTGGATATGGTTAGCATTTTCCATCACAAGTCTTTTGAAATTGTCTTGGATCTTTGTATTGCTGAGAAGAGTTTAGTTTATCTAAGTCAATCATGGCACAATGGTGCTGTTGCTGTGTACAATGTTCTCCTGGTTCTGCTCACTTCACTCAGCATCAGTTCATGTAAGTCTTTCCTGGTTTTTCTGAAACCTCATTTCTTATAGCACAATAGTATTCCATTACATTCATATACCACAACTTGTTCAGCCATTCTCCAATTGATGGGCATCCCCTCAATTTCCAATTTTTTGACACTACAAAAAGAACTGCTCTTTTTTGTACAAATAGGTTCTTTTCCCTTTTTTTCTCTTTGATCTTTTGGGATACAGACATAGTAATGGTATTACTGGATCAAAGAGTATGCACAGTTCAATTGCCCTTTGGACATAGTTTCAAATTGCTCCAGAGTGATTGGATCAGTTCACAACTCCACCAACCGTGCATTAGTGTCTCAGTTTTCTCACATCTGCTTCAACACATATCATTTTCCTTTTTTTTGTCATATTAGCCAATCTGTTAGATGTAAGGTGGTACCTCAGAGCTGTTTTGATTTGCATTTCTCTTATCAATAGTGTTTTAGAGCATTTTTTTAAATGATGGTTTCTAGCCTCATGGAACTTACAGTATAGTTGCAGAGACAAGTTACATGATAACTAACACTTCACAGCAAGGTGTGGTTGGTGACAAGTGAGTGGTATAGACAAGTACTGTAGGAGATCAGAGAAAAGAGAACTATGTGGGTTGAAAGTCAGGGAAGGCTTCACAGAGGAGAAGGGGCTTAGGTTGGACATTGATTAGTGTATAGAATTTTGGAATGATGGTAAGGAGAAAAGGACATTCTAGGTTAGCAAATGGTGAACCAAGGCACAAAGATGGGAATGTGAAAGGCTTGTGAGGCGGGGGGGGGGGGGGGGATGACAAGATTCCTTCGACTCAACTGAGTGAGGGAAATACAGTGAAGGGCACTGTGTGGGCATGCATTAGATGTAATAAGGACTTTATTATGTTTGGAAAGAAGAGTCCTTTCCAACTGTGAAAGAAATGCTCTCTTGGTCAGAATCCTCACGAAAGGACTTGTGTGGTCTGCAGAGAGAGGGGTCCTGTCCCCTGTGGAGTAAAGAGAGCAGTATGCCTTTAAAAGATGGAGATGACAACGAGGAGGGTGGGGGGAATGTAAAATTGCCCCAATAGGTTGAACTGCTATCTAAGTGCAGTTGAGAAGAGAGTACAAGGAATTATAGCGTAGATGATAAAGTCCTGACAGCTGCCATCTGCTACTGCTAGTCTCTTCTAATGGAGTTCTAATGTAGTGAGCTCTGCCTTGACAGTCGAGCTCAGAGATAGCAGGGTACGTCGGGTGTCTGTGTGACAGATGGGACAGTCCAGCACCAAACCTGTAATCCTTTGATTTCTGCTGGGGCTGGCTGTACTTAACCCTTTCATTTCCAAATTGGCCAGCAGCCAGACCTGGGGTGCAGGGACAGCTGTCAAGAAGGGAGAGAAGCCATGAAGAGGTCAGGGGCCTTGATTTTCAGCTGCATTTAGGAATCTGAAGATGTACTTAACTCTTCTTCTCTACTGGGCCAGAGAGTCAGCTGCTCAATCTGCCAGCCAACGAGTTGGGACTTTCAAAGCAAGTGAGGAGTGGGAGGGAGGGGATTAGCATCTGATTCCATTGCCACCCTTTTCTATCTCCTAGCTCAATGCTCTCCCTCCTCAGCTAGGAATTAACTTGTTATCGATTTATCAACTTGGACATGGGTGTTTAAACAAGGTTCTGAACCTCTCAGGAATGTTCTTTGGATTATCGCCACCCCAACAGGAGAGTTCATCAATGGCAAACTAGAATTGTCATGTGATGACACACACATACAGATACATACACATAGATACATATGTGCATATATATGATCATATGTATCTGTGTGCACGTGTGTACCCAATCAAAGCTGCACTCACTTGAGGGCACCTAGATAAGCATATGGAGCTCTGCCTTGTTTTTCAGCTCTTTCACCCTGTCACCCCCCTACCCACCCCACCACCACAGGTGAGCTGCTCTCATCCAGGTGGGTGTCCTGCAGGAGGGCGCTCGGTGGGAGCAGTCAGGCTTCCTGCCTGGGAGGTCTAGATGATTGCAATCTCCACATGAACCAACAGTGTGACATGGCAGCTAAAAAGGTTAATGCCAAAACTTATTTCAATCCTTTCAGCATCTACAGCTCCATGGAAGTGGGCACCCCCTCTGTGGATGCAAATCCCAACTTCATGATTGCCTCACTAGTCATAGAGAGTGGCCAAAAAATTCACCACTCTGTAGCCAACCTGGTAATGAATGAGCCTCTTTGAACTTAGCTAAGCTGATGCTTAAGCTGCAGATGTGCAGTCATTACCAAGACCACCCCCACAGCCTCGGCAGCTCAATAGCCCCTGCCAGATGCCTTCAGCGTCTCTTCCTTGCCATAAGGAGCCAATGGGCAGGCTCTAATGCAGGAAAGCAAGTGAAGGCTAGGTTAATGAAAGCATATTGTTCTGATCAAGAAGTAAAGTAGGTCATAAGAGGAGTCCCACTGTCCTCTGCACTGGTCAAACCAAATCTGTGATACTCAGTTCAGTTCTGGGCACCATGTTCTCATTAGCAGGGATATTGACAAGCTGGAATGTGTCCTGAGAGGAGTGAGCAGGATCATGAAGTACTAGTCATGTGAAGAATGATCATAGTTCTAGATTTACAGGAGAACTTTAAAGTTATCCAATCCAAATCCCTTATTTAACAGATGAGGAAACTAAGGGCTAGACAGGGGAAGTGACTTGCCTCAGGTCACACAGACAGTTGGCAGAGGCAGGATTCAAACCCAATGATTCTCAGATCTACTTTGCGAGGCCCCAATCTCTCAAGTTTCACACTTCCAACTGACTATTGGACATCTTGAACTGGAAACTCATATCCTCTGACTCCAAATTGAGCTGTTTCCACTGCACCATCATGTCTCCTGGGTGAAAGAATTGGGCAGCCCCTCAACGGCAGACCAAATCAAGGGTATTGCAAGTCAGATTCCTGCACTGAATTGGATCAGATGACCTTTTTAGGATCTCTTCCAACTCTGAGAGTATAAGATTTTAATATTCTCTGATTCTAGGATTCCCCTCTTCTCTTCCTCCCTCAAATTTTCAAGTCCCTTTGTCACCCAAAGGAAGAGAGACTGCTAGCTGGAGCTGCCTAGAGACTGAGCTTGGGCCATTTCTCTGACCCTCTCCGGAGTCCATCTCTCTGGCTGAGGTAGAGTGGCCTCCTTGCCAACATGGGGCTCATCTCTCTTGCCCCCTAGTGGCCACTTCAGCATAAGACCTGGCTCAGGCAGCAGGTGGAGGCTGAGGGGAAGAGGAGAATGGGATTGCATGAGTCTGCACAGCTGAGAGCTAGGGTAGGATCCCTAGTACTAGACAGAAGAGCCACCCCCTTTCTGTAACCCTCACATTTAAGGGCCAGGCTGGGACTTGTCAAACAGGTTTCTTAGGACTCTTCCAATATGATAGTTAAAAGGGCATAAGAGCATATATCTTTTGACTATTCAGCCTGGGTTGCAACTTTCCCCTAAAATGATTGGTACTTGGGAAAGGCCTGTTTTTCCTCCCTTTCTCTAATCTATCTTTTAGGGCCAGAATTTCTCTGGAGGATCATTGATTTAGAGCTTAAAGGAACCTTAGAGCTCATCAAGGTTCAAACTCCTCTTTTATAGTTGAGGAAAAAAAGGCCCAGAGAGATTAAATGACTTCCATAAAACTACATGGGCAGACCATCGGGGGCTAGATTTGAACTCAGGACCTGTTACTTCAAGTTCAGGACTCTTTCCATTGTACCACACTGCCTTAAAGGCCCTCTTGTGAATGATATATGCATTTAATTTTTATTCTTGAAATAAGTTTTTACTGATGTCTTCTGTTCTTTTACATCAAGACGGTTATTCCCAGTATCTTTCTTCTCCCCCTTCCGAGAACTATCCCATATAACAAATAGTATTTTTAAAGACAAAAAAAAAGGAAAAAAAGAAAAAGAAGAGGAAAAATCAGCAATATTGATCAATACACTGAAAAAGTTTGAAAACATGTGCAATGATATTTACATTTTAATGTGGTGTAGAGGAAAAGTTGCTGGGCTTGGAAGTCAAGATGCACCTGGGTTCAAATGCCACTTTTGATACCTAGTAGTTATGTGACCCTAGTCAAGTCACTTAGACTTCCTGAACCTCAATATTCTCATCTGTAAAATGGGAATGATAACAGCATCTATCTCACAGGGTTTCTGTGAGAATAAAATGTATGTAAAGCACTTTATAA